TATCAATATGGCTTTTATATTCCTCACTAGGACAGTACGTTGTAGCAAGTTACACTACATCCGCAGCCATCGCATCAACATACACGGACAAGGACCTTCATCTACGAAGTATTTACATTCACACACATATGAAGTAAGGTCTATGACATCATGCACGTGAAACGCCTCTTTACGGCAGTGCGCGCGCATACTCTGAACTCTGTTACCAGCATAGCTGTTCGCTGTACCCAGTGCCTCTTGCGTTCTCCGACTCGTATAATATTTTTGATATATCTTTATAGGAAAAAAAATCGTTTATACCGTAACTCTTAGAGAAAAGAGCGGACGCAGCATTTTAACTGGTCGTCTCACAGTAAACTCATTGATCCAGACACTTAGTCCTTATATGTCAGTGGTGATACGCTGTCACTGATGCTCGAAGTTTACCCGCATCGAGATGTCTTTACGGATCATTGTTTTTTCCGTGCTTTGGGATCTCATGTCCATTTAATCATCTACAGTACGCCCCATGTAAATGATTATGTAAAACACTCGGTCGAATTAAGATATGAGATAGCACGATAATCACATTTTTGTCTGTTTGATGAGAAAATTACACCACGCCTTTTATTACCAAGTATACCTTTCTGAGTCCCCATGACGCAATCGATTAAAACATTGTTTTCTTTGCCTTAACAGCTGACTCTGATAAGGGGCTAGCTTTTGTGAGTTGGTGCTTTTTTTCTAGAGCATCATGTAATTGACCATCCAAAACTGACTACTGATGTTTCATTTTAATTATAAGGAGTAATATTCGTAGTAACAGCGGTATTTGTGTACCACCAGCTGTGCTTGCTATTAATACCTCTTAAATGCGCTGGATATCTATAAAGATGGTAGTTATGATGATGTCGTTCTGTTTCCAATGCCATTCTACTGAAACTTTAAAATAAGTGCTTCAGAAGATACCGACAACCAGATTTATCGTTGACACGCCCTACACAGCGTTTTACTTTTCATGTGCATGTGTTGCGTCAAGCTTTTTTTTTAAGCTCTGTCTTGCAAGAACGTTCTATTTGAGCATAGTAGCGGCTAGGGCATGTTGTTTTGACATTTTCGACACATTAGGGAAAGGTGTTTTATAATTGAGATTAAGAGAACCTATAGAGAAAGCGTAAAATAATAAAAGACGTTAGGGAGAGAGGAAGAAATGGTTGGCCACAGAAGGAATCAGGCCACTAAATGACCTACATATGAAATTTTGAGTTTGAGTGAATGAAACTCGGTGTACATATATCTATAGCCTCCCCCCCCCCCCCCTTTCCAAAGTAGTTGTAACCGCCAATGAAAGCAGAGACGAAGGATGAGCACGAGAAAAAGTATTTTACACAGCAATACTGTACTATATGGATTAATGGCATAATGCTTCGTGTTTCTGCATTTACCTTTATGTTGTTGACTTGTACACGTTTTAACTGTTCAGTTCAGATTATGAAACAATTTTAAAATCATATACTGAAGGATAATGATTACTTTCATTATTCTTTATGTGGGACTATAATTGACATGACTTGTATGGTATAATAGGAAATAAGGCCTCGTTTTGCCATTTCTACCTCTTTACTACATGGTAACATAAAATAGATCTAAAATGACTTGTAGAATAAAAATTTGCACTTTTTCCAAGCCATACTGGTGGATGTTATTCCTCATTTATGTAAAGTACTCAAGTATCCTGAAGTATAATCTACCTCTTAATTGTATTAACACAACCATTTTCATGCGTAACAATATACACATTTGATTTATAACACTATGTTATACATACGTATGAATGTATACAAATATAAATAGCATGTGGGTATGAGTGAGTAAATGACAAGTCAGAGATAGAGAATGCGTGCGTGTGTGTGCATATTTGTTATTTTTCCGTGGAAACTTGTGCCGTTTGAATTCCTTTCCGCAAAATCTCAAGAAACTCCTCCTGGAAAGCATGGTTTCTTTCAGAGTCCATTTCCATTTGCTTCTGTATACCTTTCAAAATTCCTAGTTGTTGTACCTGCAGTTCGATACGTCGCTTTTCCAGTCTGAGGAATTCTTTGTCTCGATAAGCAAGAACCCCTCGTATTCGTTTGTTTCTCTTGCCTTGTAATTTCTTCAGGGATGACTGAGGAGTGCTGAAAGTCAGGACTCGCAGCTGAGATTCTGAAGTCGACTTCATTGGTTCGGCGACTTCGTGAACCATGGGCGATATCTCAGATTTCATCTCAGTGTTAACGGTAATGACACGAACTCCTGGTTCAGACTTAACAAAACTGAAAATGGAGAGAAAATATGAATGAATCTGAAACAGTCGAATTGCAGATATTATATCATTATACACAAGAAAACCTATAAAACCTCTTACATAAACAATGAAAATCAAGTGATAATCTTGTATGACAATAGAACACCTTACAACCGCCCTCGCTACTATCTTACCATCCTTGTGATAATGGTGTTTGTGACGGGACTTGGTGTG